AAATATTTTTAATAATTTAGGATATTTACCTTTACAAATTTCTAAACAAAGTTAAAAATTATAAGTTTCATTATTAAATAGAATAACTCCTAATATTAATTCTCATATAATCATAGAAAAACTATATATATCACTAGCTAAAGTATAAGGTTGACCTCTTAAAACTTCAGAAATTACAAATGGTAATACATCATAAATATCACTTTTTTTAGATATTTGAAACTACTCTACAGGTTTACATAATCCTAAATTATTAATAAATAAAATCTTCTTTCTAATATTTAAAATATTATTATGATAAAAATTACAATGAATAAGATTTTTTTTGATATATTTTCTCAAGTTCATTAATAATATTATTTAATTATAATAATTTAATAATTTACTTATCTTTTACTATATTTGATAAATTTTTTCTTAAATTATTATTTTTTGCATATTTTATTATTACCATATAATCTAAAGTTTTTGAATCTTAAGTAAATCTATATAAATTGAATAAGATTTTTATCTGAATATTTTTTTAATTGACTATAATATTTATAATGATATTTCTACTAAAATAAAAATAAATTAATTTAAATTTTATTATTTAAAATTAAATATAATTATTAATTTATATCTCATTTAAAAATTCTTCATTTAAATTTGATGATTTATTAAACTTTTAAGAATTATATTAATACTACTATTTTCTGATTCATTTTTTATTTTTATATTCATAAAATTTAATAAATCTATCTGTCTAAGTTGCTTTATATATAATACTAAATCCTTCTTTATTAAGATATTCAATATTTTTAAATTTATCATAAGGAATCCATTCTAATAATTGCTTTTTATTTTGAGCATTTATTTGAATATTTTGAATAAATTCATCAATAAATTTATTTTTATTAGTCCAATTAAAAAAACTTTGCTGAAATAAATTAAAATAACATTCTTTATACCATAGAAATCTAGTATTATTTTTATTATAATTTAGATATATTTCTTTTTTTCTAAATGATAATATTTTATAGAATTAATATTACAATTATTATTTTATTATTATTTTAAATATAAAATTATAATACTTACTTTAATATATATATTTATAAATATATAATAATAATATTTTATATTATTAATTTAATTATACTTAATTTATCTATATTTATTAATAAAATAAAAGTAACTTACTATCTAATAATTTATTTTTTAAATAATTAAAAAATTTAGTTGATTTTAAATTACAATAATAAATGTAATTAAATACTATTAATTAATAAAAATAACTTACCATTTATTATATTATTATTTATTTATTAAATAAAAAATTTAATTAACCTTAAATTGCAATAGAAATATAATAATCAATAAAAATAACTTACCATTTATTATATTATTAATTATTAATTATTTTTTAAATAAAAAATTTAGTTGACTTTAAATTACAGTAACAAATATAATTAAATACTAATAATCTATAAAAATAACTTACTATCTATTATATATTAATTATTAATTATATTTTTAAATAAAAAATTTAGTCAACTTTAAATTATAGTAACAAACATAATTAAATATTGATAATTAATAAAATAACTTATCATCTATTATATTATTAATTATTAATTATTTTTTAAATAAAAAAATTTAGTTAACATTAAAATATAATAATAAATATAATTAAATAATAATAATCAATAAAAATAACTTACTATTTATTATATTATTAATTATTAATTAAATAAAAATATTTAATTAATTTTAAATTATAGTAACAAGTATAATTAAATATTAATAATCAATAAAAATAACTTATGTTCTAATAAAATTTATTTTTTTAAATAAAAAATTTAGCTAATATTAAATTACAATAACAAGTATAATTAGATACTAATAATCAATAAAAATAACTTACTCATTAATAAAATTTATTTTTTTTAAATAAATAATTAGTTAACTTTAAATTATAGTAACAAATATAATTAAATACTGATAATTAATAAAAATAAATTACTATCTATTATATTTTATTAATTATTTTTTTTAGATAAAAATTTAGTTGATTATAAATTATATTAAAAAAAATATAATTATTAATTAATATCTTACTTTCTGTAATATTATAAATAAATTAATATTTTTTATTTAAATTATAATAAATATAATTAATTGAATTAATAAAAATAATTTACTAATTAAATTATTAATATTTTAATTTTAATAAAAAATTTATTTATAATAAATATTATATAAAATTATAAATATAAATAATTTACCAACTAAAATATCATTAATTATCATTAAAAATATATAATAAATTAAATTTAAATTAAAGTGTAAAAAAATAAATAACTTACTCCCTATAATATTATTGATTATTAAATATTTTTTGAATAATAGTTTAATTAAATTTAAATTATATAAATTAAAAATTAAATAGTTTACAATCTATGTATTAACATTTTAAAAATTTTTTTTTAAAAAAATATTAATTATTAAATAATTATATAAATAAATAATAGATAAAAAATAAAGTTTATTACCATTTAATTCTTCTAATTTAGGAGTGTCTGAAGCTGATTCTATATTCGAATTTAATAAAATTTAATTTTTAGCAAAAAAAAATGAGTATAATTAACGACATGTATTACCTTCTAGTGAGGAAGCTTTTTGTAGCATCCGAAACCTGCTCTAATGTACATGAATAAAAAGTTTTAGAATAAATCAACCCGTCATTTTATTCATACGAAGCTTCATATCTTTATTCCTTTTTATTGTTGGTAAAATATTTTTAACTACTTTATACACTCTTACCTTTATAATTACTATTAGACATTGTTATAATTTATAATAAAAAAATAGGCTTTTTATTTCAAATATATATGGTCAAGTAGATCTTACCGTATATGTATGCGAGGCATTGGTAATTAATAAAAGGCACGTAAAATACTTTTGGAAATAATCGACAAAGGATCAGCGCATGCGCTACAGACAAATTTCTACAAAGTTTTTTCTTTTCGAAACTACACTTCACTTGAACTTTAAAATTCTATATATGTGAGTATTTTTTTTATTTCTACAAGTTTACTTAGAACGTTTCGATTTTAAAATTTGACTTGCAAAAATGCGACTCACAAATTAAACCATATAATCGGTGAAATCTGTCACAGATTTCAAGACGTGCATATTCTTAGTTTACCTGAGTTACAAGCCATTTATACAAATTTAAAAATCTGGCTCCAGACCGGCTCAAAAGAGTGTCTCAAAAAGACCAATTGTTTGTAAGCCAATCAAAAAATTTTTAATTGATCGACTTGTCTTTTCCCGAAAGTCTTAGTAGAGACGGTTTTGAAGCAAAAAAATTCATGAGTTATGTGATGACAAAGAATCATCTTTATTTCAAAATACAAAATTATCATAAAATTATTGGAGGTTATAATCCGTTAAGATGGAATTGTAATTATGGATGAGGTGCTGTATAATCAGGGAGTTTTTTTATTTCTTTTGAATCTTAATTCAGGATATTAAAAGGTTAATAATTTGATATTCAGCACCAAAGATTATGAACCGAGTTACCATGAAGATTTTGGACCTGCCTTTCGCTTTAAATGTGAGTTATATATTAAAAGTGATAGGATAAGTACATATTTTGGAAGATTACAGGTAATTCAAAAATAATAATAAAGTTATAGTTGCTTTTAATATTCATTTTAAATAATTTTTACAAATGATTTTGAATGCAAGATGGTCTGAATAAAACTCTTTCAAATAACTCATGAAAAGATTTATTAATTTTTTAACCCATTTTATATAGAAAGTTAAAACTTGATAAAATACTAATATCCTTGATAACAATTTTAATATATTAACCCGTATGAAGACTTTATTTTATTTTAAAAAAATATGGAGCGATGTCAACAGAAGCCAAAATTATTCAAGTTCTATATGGAGTATTAATACCTTATCATTTGAATTGAATATTATTAGAGTAATATTTGTCTAATTTAGCCGAAAAAGAAATTATGCTAATTTTCACTTTTCAATAACGAGTAAGCTTAGATTCAATTTTTTTTTATTAAAGTAGTCATCATAAAGACGAAAATATAAATGCTAATTACATTGATTCTTTTACACTTATAAAAAAATTTGCTGCAATTTTCAATTTAGTTCCAACTTTTTTTTTTTTTGCGGATTTTTTGACAATTTTAATTATTAATAACAAGGTAAGGTTTATAGGGGGGCAAAAAATGATAAATTGTACTTACCAATTATGCCGGCGGGGTCTATGAAACCTTGCGGCCTTCTCCGCCACTCGGATATCAGAGGCTCCAATGAGAATGGTTCCAGAAAATTTATCGATTTTCTAAATTTGTATTGTACAATATTACATTTTTCTTAACTCCTTAAATAACCTCCGGAAACTTCAAAATGAAACAATATTTATCATGCCACATGTAATATAGGTCAAAAATATATTGTTCTAGTTCTAATAATATCCGAAACATCCCTTGCATATCAAGTTATATTGCGGTTTAATTTCCGCAAATAAAAAATATCAATTATAAATTTTAAGTTAAGTCGTTATATTTCTAGGCCTTGCTTAAAGAATTTTTTGTCTTTTTTTTTTTTTTTTTTGTAAAAAAAGATAAAAAAGAAACGAGAATCCATTAATACAAGTTACTTTTTTTTTTTTCTACTTCTAACATTAAATCCCAAACCAACTTCAACTTGAAGCTGTGTTTTTTTTACTTTATTACCCTATTTGTTTAAAAAGGCGATTTCCTTAAAAGTATAATAGGTGAACACAAACAGAAGATTTTCTTGATACAATATTATTTTATAGACAATAATAACCAATTGCTATTTATATTTTATAATTGATTTTTTTTAAAAAAAAAAATATATATAAACACCTTTAAAAAAAAATGTTTTCAACAAAAAAAAAGAAAAAAAATATCCTTAATTAATTACTTTTTTTACTTTTTTAATATTATTTAATTCAAAAAAAAATGACGAAATATAATCAAACCTTACTTTTATTTTTCGTCATAACTGCTGTTTTTAGTTGTTTTAGCAAAGTAAATGCAGCAGCTATCTTATCAGATCTACAGGCTAGATCCATTCAAAGGTAAGCTATCAAAAAATTGAATAGAGCCATAATTTTAATCGACGTAAATTCACACATTTTTTTTTTATTAAAGTCCGCAGGACGGAACTACAACTCCTGTAACACCAAAAGAACCAAAAGCATTCTATTATAATCAGACCATGGATCATTTTAACAAAAAATCGAAAAAATTCTTTCAAAAATATTATGTAAATTCAACTTTTTATAAAGAAAGTGGTCCAATATTTCGTAAGTTTAATGAATTTATTTTCTTCTAATTTAAGGTTTTTATTCTTCACAAGTTTTTTATATAAATTTGTTAAATTATAGTTTACACACCTGGAGAATCCGGAATTGAACCATCGATAACAACGTTTTCATTCATTAGTGAATTGGCGGCAAATTTAAGTGGACTTTTAATAAACATTGAACATAGATATTATGGCGAAAGTTTTCCATCAAATGATTTTAAATATTTAACAATAGATCAAGCATTATTTGATTTTGCAAATTTCATAAAAAATCCACCAGAAGTTTTAAAAATTCCTAAAGACGCTAAATGGATAACCGTAGGAGGGTCTTATGCAGGAAATCTGGCAACGTGGATGAGAAAAACGTTCCCAAAAGACGTATTTGCAGCTTATGCATCTTCGGCTCCATTAGAGGCAAAGTTAGATTTCTTTGAATTCGATCAAAGAGTATCTAAAGCTTTACCTTGTGCGAAAAATATTTCGGATGCATTTAGTTTTGTATTTGATCCTATTCTGACGTCCGGTAATGAGTCGGCTATCTTAGAATTGAAGCAGACATTTGGTTTAGAAATGATCGAAGATAACCGAGATTTTGCATCCGCGTTAAGTCATCCTACTGCTACCATTGTACAAGAATATGTTCCCCCTCAATCATCCGAACAACTTGATAATATCTTGGCTATTTGTGGCCCGTTTGCTCAAGCTCCCGAATCCCCAGAAACTTCTGCATTTATTTACACAGAAGGAGTTAAAGCATTCTTAAATATTACAGGCCTAACCACCCCTGAAGCTAAAATTAAAGCATTTGCAACGACTGCGATAAATGCGAAAGGAAATAAGGATTTGGCTTCCTTTACTTATCAGTATTGTACTGAATTAGGTTATTATCAAACCGCTCCAAAAAATCCTTTGCTATCAATTCGTTCAAAAATTATAGATATCAGTTATTATCAAGGACAATGTGATTTCATATTTCCCGGAATAGTTTCTTCTCCAATGATTAATAGAACAAATAAGAAATTTGGTGGTTTTAATGGAAATTTCTCGAAAACCATTTTCGTTAATGGTGACATGGATCCTTGGACTGCGTTAAGCGTTAGTAGTGATTCGGTTAATCCAAAAACCGCCGAAGAAAATAGTATTTTCCTTATTAAAGGTGGTTCTCATGTAACTGAATTTGATCCACCTTTACCTTTTGACTCTGACTCATTAAAAGAATCGAGGATTTTTGTTCGTGACACTTTGGCTAAATGGTTGAACGAGTAGCCGATAAAAACTAACTTTTTCACAAGATGAACATTTTATTACTGCGCAACAATTTTTACTAAATTACTTTTCTAATGTATAATACTTCTAATTAGCTCGAAAAAATTAATTTACTGTTTATGTAATTTTATGTAATTTTACTATTAATTAAAAAAAATAAAGTGTTTGAAATGACTCGGGGTAAATTTCCCAAGAAAAACCGTTTTATATACCATATATTTTTGTAAATAGGATTAATTCGCTAGACTTGTATGATAAAATTCTAACCTATTTTAAACATTGTGATATGCCTACCTTTTCAAGAATTATAAAGGAAAAACCGTTATTTGTTTTACAAATACAAATGGATGGTCCATTTTATGTAATTAAATTGGAGAGCCAACTTCTCAAAATATGTATAAAAGAAATTGGCAACTGCAGCAAGGCAAGGAAATTCATTGCCGAAAATGGGATTTGTGTATTGGCTTTATATAAATAAATTTATTTATCTTAATTATTAAAATGATAAAATTATTATTAAAAATTTAATTAATAATATAAATAAGGTTGCTAGACGAAACCTAGAAGTTTTGCAAGTCATCTAAATGGTAAAAGGTAAAATTTAGCAAAATTATATTAAAATCTTATTAAAAAAATCCGCGAAATACAGAAAAAGGTAAAACTAAATAAAAATAATAAAATTAGCAAATTAGACATTTTGCTAAATCAAAAATAGGTATCGTTTATTCCAGTCCCATAAAGATATCAAAATATTTTGTATTTAAATGTTGGTCAAAAAGTGGCTATATATCAAAAAATTACCTATCATCTAATAATAGGAGACCACTGTGAAATGTTAGAATTAAATTAATAATAAATGTTTATTATATGAATTTTTTTAAAAAATTAAAAATTAATAATTTTTTATATTTTAATTAAAGTTGAATTAGCTAAATCTAATGCTAACGCCAATGCTAAAGTTAAAGCTAAAATGTTAATTCTAATACTAATACTAATGTTAAAGCTAATAATAAAATTAATGACTAGAAAATGTTTTCAGAAAATATTGTTAAGTCCAAAGTACAAGTGTAATGAAGGGACCAATCACATATTGACTCTAATTTTAATATTATTATCTGAAGTAAAGTGAAGGACTTTCTTATATTAGTCACATATTACACAAGATATTCTGTTATTTGCCTGCTCAAAATTTTAAGTTAACATTAATGTTAAACTAATAGTAATACTAATCTTAACATAGTTATCTTTATTATTATTATTATATTCATTATTATCAATATTCTATATCTTAATTTTTTTTATATTTTTACACACTGCTAAATTAATTTTTTTTTATTATTCAATATATAATTTTGATGAAAAAATCAAAAAAATTTTTATTTTTAATAGAAGGGTCAAAAATTTTTTCTAATAAATTTTTTAATAGAAAATCAAAAATTTTTTTTTAATAAAAGATTAAAAAATTTTTTAATTATTTTATCTTAATAAATAAAACATATTTTAAAATAAAAATCATTTTAGTAATTTAATATATAAAATATTTTCAAATTAAAGCTTTTAATAATTTAATATATTAAATAAAAAGTTTTAATTTAAAGAAAAAATATTTTTATCAAGTTAAAATTAAATTTTTTATAATATTATAAACTATATATAAATTAAATATACTATAAAATTTATATATAAAATTAGTTTACAATTAAAATTAAAATTTAATTTAGAAAATTATATAAATAAAATAATCAAAAAGATAATTAAATAATCAGATAAACAAATAACTGAAGATTCAAATGAAAGTAACTTTTATTAAAATCTATATAAATTTATAAAGAATATATTTAAAAATAAAATAAAAAACGATTATATATACATATTATAATTTATTATAGTCAATTCTTGATATAGTGAACTCTTGATATAATGAATTTTTTGAATAATATAATAAAAAAACTCTTATTATAGCGAATTTGCCAATCAAATCTCTTAAAATCTTTACTATAACTTTATAGTTAAGATTTAAGATATAGAGTTCATTATAATAAGAGTTGATTATAAATATATATTTTTTATTTTTCTAAAATTAAGATAAATATCATAAATGATAATTATTAATGATTGTTTATTAGTTAATTTTATTTCTTAAAAAATGAATAAAAGATCTCATAACTTTATTTTATTTTATTTTAACTTTTATTTTTAGTAAATAATTATTTTTTATATTTTTTTTATTTTTAAAAAAAAAGTAATCAAAAAATAATTAACATTTTATTATTTTAAAGAATCTTAAAAGTATAATTCAAAATATATGATAGATTTATGTTTAAGATATGATTTATATTATTATTATGTTAAAATAATAACCTATTTTTTTACTTTTTTTTTCTTTTAGTTTCTTCTTTTTTTATTTAACTGTATCTTCTTATTCTTCTCCTTCTCTAACAATTATTTTTTCTTCTTTTTCTTCTTTTTCTTCTAATTTTTTTTTTCTTTATTCTTTAATTTACTTTTTACTACTAATTTTCATTATTAACTTATTTTTCTCACTTTCTTACATTTTCTATTTTTTCTCTTACTTTTCCTACTTTGATTTTTTTATTCCTTCAGATTTTTTTTTTATTCTTTTATTTTTATTTCTATATCTTTTTATTTCTCTTCTAATTTTTTCTATATTTCTCTTTTTTTTACTTACTCTTACGTATTTTTTAATATTATCTCATATCATTTTCTTTTTTATTTTCCTTTTTTTCTTTAAGTTTATTCTCTTTTTTACCTTTTTTACTTTCTTTATTTTATTATCATCTTTTAATATTTCTATCTTTCTTTTATCCTTTTTAATTTTAACTGTTTTTTTATTTATTATCATCTTCTTAGGTGATCAGAAAGATGATAAATTTTAATTTATTAGATATCTTTATTGAATC